AGGAGGAGGGAAGGTGTCTGAGGGAAAAGAAAGAAGGAAGGGGCTGCAAAGAGAGTGAGAACATTGCCATGAAGACATTGTGAGGGAGGCCTCAGAGCCAGAGAAGGGAGAAAGCAGACAAGTATTACCGGTTATCTGTATATTCACTTGACCAACAATAAACGTAGTCTATTTTTTATTACTACAAAGACTTCTGGGAACAAATAGCCAGCAGTCATTGAGCTCAGGCACTCTCTGTGAAGGAGTGCTGATCGAAGAGGTGCTCCCCCAGGCCGTTGTGGGGCACTTCCAGGCGCCGCAGGTTGGAAATGTAGCTCCCTAGCTCCTTGACAGCTGCCACCTGGTCCTCCAAGAAGGACTTTAGGAAGTCGCACATCTGCAGAGAAGGAAAGTAGGAAGGCTGAAAGAGTGAAGAACTTTTTACAAGTTGCATGTGTCTGAATGGGTACTCTTGGGTGTATTCTCAGTCCCATCCTCCTTGTTCACTTACGTGCGGATCCCCTTTCTGCAGAGCGAGATGGTGCAAATCCAGGAGAGCTTGGTTCAGGATGCTCTCCAGCCGCAAGGCGCTCTCAAAGGCCACCAAACTGTTCTCCCATTCATCCTTTTCTGGCTTCTGAGAAGGAGAGGCCAAGCAGCAATGAAGAAAATCCATAACAGCCATGTAGAGAAGTGTGTGTTTGCATCAAAAGAGTTATACAGTTTAGACTTCAGTAAGATGTATGCTTAGCAACTCAATTGGGCTATGGACTATTGATTCTAAAGAAGATGCCCTGTGTTACTGAAGGAAATGTAGTTTTATAAGATTTTATAAACGCCTTATAGGGCTGGAGGTCCCATCTGTAAAGTGCATACAGACAAAGATATAGCTTTTAAAAAGAGCTGTCACTGCAGTTTATCTATTTACAGTATTTACATTCCTCTCTTCTCACCCCGCAGGGGACTCAGGGTGGATTACAATGCACATATACATGGGAAACATTCAATGCCATTTAGACATTAAACATATATAGACAGACACAGAGGCAATTTAACATTCCAGCTTTCCGATTTCATGAGGGTATGCTCGATTCCAGCCACAGAGGGAGCTGCCACTTCACCGTCCACTTGTGACACCGAGTCCTTGATGGAGTACTTCCTCATTCTTACACACGCTGCTGGAAGGTTTTATGGTATCGTAAATTAGTTAAATTACCCTCCCCGCATGAAGCGGTACCTAAATTTCCTACTTGACAGATGCAACTGTCTTTCGGGCTCCATAGGTCAACAGCAAGCTAGACTATCAATAGTCGGGAGCTAACTCTAACCCGGTCTGGCTTCAAACTCATGACCTCTTGGTCAGTAGTGATTTAATGTAGCTGGCTACTAACTAGCTGCGCCACAACCCAGTTTGAGGAGCAATTCTCACGCTTACTCTCCCAATTCTTTCACGCAGCATTTTTACTTTTACTTGTAACTAAGAGATAAGCCAGTGCCTGCCTAGTGCATCCCTGTAAGTCAGTGACTTTCCAAAAGGTTATTAATCCCATTTCCCAAATGTTTATGGAGATTCACATTCCCCAAAAATTGGTCAGTTTACCTCTAGAAGAACTGGATATTTTCCCAAGGAAAAATGGATAAAAGGACACTTTTCCATATGGGTCAAGCAGTGATAGAATGGAGCAAGAGTTCACAGTATCGGAGCTCCAGGATGTTTGGATAAGGCAGCAAAGAATCCATTCCTTGTGAAGATTAAACCACATTAAACTTTCTTCTTCTTCCTCCTCCTCCTCTTCCTCCTCCTCCTCTTCTTCTTACTCCTCCTCTTTTCTTCCTCCTCTTCCTCCTCCTTTTCTTCCTCCTTTTTTCTTTCTTCCTCCTGCTTCTCCTCTTCTTCACTTTTCTCTCCTCTTCTTTCTTCTTTTTCCCTCTTCCTCTTTTCTTCTTCATCTGCTCCTCTTCTTCTTCCTCCCTATCTTCTCCTCCTCGTCTCCTACTCCTCCTTTCTTCCTCCTCTTCTTCCTCCTCCTCTTCGTCTTTCTCTTTTTTCCTCTTTTCTTCTTTTTCTTCCTCCTCCTCCTCCTCCTTACTTTATTTTTATCCCTCTTTTCTTCCCATCGGGACTCAAGGCAGCAACCAATGACATGATGATGCAACAGAATTTAAAAACAAGGCAAATATATATACTGTGCATGAATACACAAATTATTATTAACTTTTATTTATACCCCGCTAACATCTCC